CCAGCGAATCGCCGAGGCTTCACGCCGGCGGCCAACTCTGGCTACGTGGCTGACCCCGATTTTCGCTTATGTCTGTTTCTAGCAGAGAAGGAGGTGGTGGCGCCCCTGGCGGTCTCTGGCGTTTGTTCTGCCGCTGTCCGGGGGAGGTAGTGTTAGTATTTCATTTTCTCAATTATCTTGTATAATGTATAAACAAGATAATTTAAAGTGGTCCACGTGTTTCTATTTTGTAAGGACTACAAACTGTTAATCTCCTTAATCCATACAATTTGGATGATTGATATTAATTCTGTGATGGATAGAATTAATAATTAGACATCACACTGTTTCACCAAATGATATCTATCAAAAGGTGTCTACTGCCAAAAAGTACCTTTCTGTCAAAGGGTACCATCAATTTTAAAAGGTTCATAGGCTCATCACTTTATGACTACTGAATCTAACACCATTTAAAGAGAAAGTGAAAGAGCCTAAAAAATCCTAACCGAATAAAAGTGAACATGCCGAAGCCTTCACCATTGTCTTCTACAAGTTCTTCAAATAACTCAAACATACACAAGCAATGGTTGGAGGTATGTAATCTCGATCATTCCGCTGCACCGATATATCAATGTATTTATATTTTCATCTCGTGCGTTGGAGTCTATAATATTTAATGAATATTCATTTCACTAGTTTTATTATGCATTTTGGTATGAGAATGAGATTTTTGAATGGAGATGAAATATTGTTTGATGCAAGATGAGTTATAAATTAGAATGAGTTTTTTGGTTGAAAATCCTTCAAGATTAGCTATTTTCTATGTTCAGCAATTATCATACATTTGTTAGTTATAAGTAATGTATATGTTAAAAGCAAATAATTTTTATATCAAAAAAAGACACATGTTATCAATTTATTATCTATTTTTTAGCCTATTATTAATATTTTAAAAATATATAAAGATATTATTAATCTGATATATTCATATTCAAAATGAGAAATATAATATTTATTAACTTTTTACATATAATGGCTAAAAATTGGTAAGAATAATAGAAATTAATAATAGAAAATTTGAGATTGCTTGGCTGATGTAGAATATGTATTCAAATATTACTTTCAACATCAAGTTCACTGCAGATGAGAAGACTGAATTGTAGAGGGTTAAAAAATTTATTGTTGACGAGCGTTTTCGGTCAACGGTTAAAAAGATAAATGATAGAAAAGGAAAGGAAGAAGAGATAAGAAAATACGGTTCAATCGCGGTTTTATTGACAGATCGCTAGGTCGGCCTCTCGTACGAGGTCGGCACTTGCAATATCCTTACAAATTGTTACAGAGTAATTACACGAGTCTTTAGGGAGAGAAAGTAGAGAGAGATAGCTATTACAGTTGAGGTTTTTACAACCCAAAATAAATGAGAAGGGTTGCTATTTATAGTAGCCTTTAATGTGGCACTGTTCAGGTACTGTTCATCAGTCTTGTCGTACAGTGTTCCTGCGGGACAGTCCGGCGTTCCTCTGACAGCATTAAATGCGATTTGAGGTTTCCCCATCATTAGGTGGCAGGCATTTAATGCCGACAGGCTTTATGTCTTACCTAAGAGGAGTAGGTCTGCAGGCTATGATGTCCCATCCATTTAGCCAATGATTGCCCCCCAAGTGGCATTATTATACCATTATAGAGACCGGCATTCTCCGTCGTAGGGGCCCGCTCTGGGACCCCAAGTCGGCACCTCGGCATCTTACTTCCATCTGTTCCTCTGGTCCTGGGGGATCTTTCTTTCAGTCCGTCATTTCTAAGCCCGGCACCCATGGCGTCGTAATTGGAGATACCGAACTGACGAATGGTCTCACGGCGATGCCAGGGTCGAAAGGTTCTCCGGCCCAGCTCGGCACTTTGTGGGCGGGCCGGGTCTCTGGTTCGGCTCTCGGAATTGCGTGGTCCGGTTCAGTCTTATGGGCGAACCCGGATGTCAACATTTATTTAGGGGGTGATTGTTTATGTAAACATCAAATATTATAGACTTCATATCGGATGTATCTGTAAAATCTTCTAATATACAAAACATAGATTGTATTTAAACTGAAAATATATTATCCATATACTCAACATATATTGCTCATTCGAAAGTTTCGATATATGCTCGCTAAAGTACTTCTCGTACTGTTCTTGCAAATTTCTTCAACCTTGCACCTCCTTCACCAATGATACAACCGTTGGCAGTGTCGGAGTCAGGATATATATTAACTCAACATATTTTAACACAACATATACTGCCAACATCACAACTAGCCCGAGCTTCCATCGCCGTCCGGCCTAACAAATTTGGCGGAGCCCTCCAATCATCCCTATCGGAAATCGCTCTCGAAGGTCGCACCCGACGGCCAAGAGAACCTCCTCGGCTATTGATTAGTATGAAGAAAGCATAAAAAAACAATCCTGAATTCTTGAATTTGCTTGCTCCATGGCCCCCATCTGCGAGAAAAAATTTGTAGAAAAAAAAAAAAAAAAAAAAAAAAATCCTTTTATTTCTCAAGAATATTTAGGGAGAGCAAAAATGAATGTTGACGACTGCAGCCGTCGTAGCCGCCGCCACCACACCGAGATCGGTAGTCGTCACCCCCAGGAGCAAATGCCACGCGGTTTTGTCATGAATCATTCTATAATTATTTAGTAATTTCACCTTAATTTTATATTTTGCCATAGAAATTGAACCTAGGGTTTATTGAGAATGAAAATGAGTTGACGGAGTGGAAAGTTTCAACGTGGGTGAGATGTGGAGTAATTAGGCATAATCCGCGGAGTCGGTTTGTTTTACATCTGCTCCAAATTATTTTGCAAGAGCATAATATAATGTCTCATGTGTTTACAATTAAAATAACAATATTTAGTACATTTGCTAAAATCTTTATTGACCCGTAGGATTGCAAAAAAATAGTTGTGTGGTCGTTTGGGGAGTAATTTCCTTTTAAGTTAAATCTCCGATGGCTCGCCATCATCCTTCTTCAGATGGCATCTAGAGACAACTACGGATGAGAGACATGAAAGATAATGTAAAAATGAAGAAATCTATATATAAATAATTGCTAGCTAAACATTTAATTTTACCTATTAAATTTTATCTACTTAGTTTCACCTGCATGGCAAATTTTCCATACTCCAAAACCGTTACTTTCTCTAAGTATGAATTCAATTATTCAAACATCTATGTATGCCCATTACATGTAAAATAAGTAAATAATATAAGCAAATAGTGGTAGATCCAAGATTTAAAAGGTAAAGCTACAAGAAAAAAATAATAATAATTAATGATATCACAAGTAAGTAAAAAATAAAGGAATTTTAAATGATATACATATTATTTAAATTTCCTTTTACACAACCCAACATATACACACGAATAAAAACCTTTTCTTCTATTTAATTTATTTTGATTCCTTTATATATTTAAATATATTCTTTTCTTTTTAAACACAAAAGCGGAAAAAAAAACCAGAAATAAATTATTAAAAGTATTTCATTTTGTCTAAATTTGACCTCATAAATTATACCTACGTGGCACCTAACTTTCCAAAAATATGATTATGTTAATTAAGACAAGAATTATTATATTTTAGATTAATTGAGTAATAATTATATTTTTTTATTGTTTCATATAATAGTTATTATTAGAATTGATAATTATATTTTACACGAAATGATATATGAATTTACATAAGCATAAAAAAATTATATTGTAAAACTTTTTGTTCAAGTTATTAATTCTAAAATCAATATTATATTTTTTATCTGATTAAGCGATTATTTTTTAAATAAATTATATTTTTTTAATATCATAGTAAAATCCCTTAAAATTTTATAAACAAATGTAATAATAAATTTAATATTTTTTAGCAAATTAATAGTCATAATCTCTCAAAATTACAAATATTACATTATGTATAACATTTTATGCAATCAATATAGTGATTCATATGCAATCAAATAGTTACGTACTATTTATTTTAACCAATGATCAAATTTTAAAAAATAATATCATTATCTAACTTATAATTTTGATATTATATGTATAAAATAACTTATGATACTCTATGTTTAAAATTTAATATCATTATCTAACTTGTAATTTTTTTTTAAAAAATATCTAACTTTTAATATTATGCATATAAATAGCTTATAATACTTTATTCAAATACACAACATTGAATATTAGTAAAGACACTAATGAAGAATGATGGATTTATTTATAAAGATATATCAGGATTACTGACCATCTTAATTTGGAATACAGAATTTTAAAATCACATATAAAAGAAAATGGAAACGAAAAATCGAAATTTCGGTGCTAATATATATTTTTTTTTTTACTTGAAAAAAAAAGATCCATAATAAATCAAATGGCTCATTTACACACATGCTACACGACTCAGCAAATATTGTAACTCTACAATCCTAATAAAAATAATTGCGTATTTACCTAAAACATAACATTTAATTAGATTAGTTCTTAATATCAGTTACCATAATATTACAACGTCTCACCTTAATTTACGCTTGATTACCATATATATATATATATATATGTGGTAATTTAGATATCCTACTAATTAGAGTGTTCAATTCAATATAACCATAGCTTTCTTAATTTGCACAGATCGTGGAATTTCAATTCTCAAATTTTTGACTAGGTAGTATATATTGTGTGTATATTCCGTATATATTCAATTTTTTTTAATAGATAGTATATATTGCGTTCATAGTCAGTATATATTAAGTATATAACCTCATTTTTTCTATTTACATAGCATTTTTGTTTACCACAATTGTGATATTTAAATTTCACGTGTTAATTGTATATATTGTGTTTATAGTCAGTATATAATAAAAAATTAAGTACGAGCCAGATGAGAAACACACCAACCTGAACATATACTTCTTATATAAGCAACATATACTACAAAAAAAAAATCATTTTTCTCTCCCTTTTATTCATCGTTCCTGTAAGCACACCATCAATGGCCAAATCCTCGCGGAGCATCACTACCGACCCATTCATGAACCCGATCAGACTGCCGAGAAACGGCCATGCGCGAACCACCGATAGCAACCGCCGCATGGATCAGGTATTTACCAGGGTGGAGTTCATCTTCGCCGCCACTCGCATAAAGCCCGACACTCTGAACCTTCTTGTCGGTCGAATCGATGGACTCTGTTGCAAAATCTATATTTATGCTCTGCAAATTGAATCAATTAATTAAATTAAATTAAATTAATCTATCACATAGATATCAAAATATACCTGGGAAGAGATGTGCGGACATATCTGGAAGCGAAGGCCGAGTGGACATGTTCATCATCACTACCCTCTAATTTTGTGGTCGTCAATACTATTTTTCGAAAGCAAACTTTAGTTAAGGAGAGAAAATAAAGTCTAATAGATCCTCATATATGTACAATTCATTTGGGATGTGCGTGAATATAAGATATGCCACGTGTACTTGTGAAGGACTGAGAAGCATACACGTAAATGAGATAATTGACATATGTATATCTGCAAATAAAAATTAATGTGTCCGTATACTTACAAATAAAAAATAAGATTGGTATATATGTGCAAATAAAGTTGATGTGAAGTAATTTTCTCAAATCAAATCACTATTACTCCCAATAATTTTATCGGTCCAAATTTTCCTATAAGCGGGATTCATTGAAATGCCCATAAAAACACTGGTTTTATAATAGAGGAAAATTTGAATTACAAACGAAAAGCAAGTACTCCAAATCTTCAATGGGTTTCAAAGATGTTTCGGCGACCTGACCCGACTGATAGAAGGCTCGCTCAGGTACTCTACAATTCTTTGCTTAAGTGTAGTATTGTTCGTCGCAATTCGCCCATGTAATAGACGTCTCGCTCTTTCTTCCTTTTCTGGCGTTTGTTTCTTGTGAAGTTGTTGTTTGGTATATTTTCGATTAAGTTGCGTTTTCACAATTTTATTCTACTTCGATGCCTTGAAGTAATTGCTTGCAAATCTGTGTTCAATTACTCCTATTTCCCTCGCCTATGCAAATTTGCAGGAATGTGTTATGTTGTATGCTCTCTTTACGCGCACCAGGTGTTTGATTTATGGACTCTCCTACTTGATCAACATCGCAAATGACTTCCTAAGTATTATATTTGCTCTACAATACCTCCTCTGAAGTTTTACTTGAGTTTGATATTGAAGCACCAAGTATAGGAGCCCACCAATGTTGTTGGTTATTGCTGATTAGTACAAATGTGGATCCAATTCTGTCGTATAAAGTAATTTGGTGGAAATTTTAAACTTTGACGAGGGTATATTAAGTATTTACTCACATAGAAATAATAGCAAAAGAATTATGACTAGCATTGCCTAAATATGTTAATTATGTTTAAATTTTTGTAAACATAATCAGGTATCGTTCTTGAATGTGCGAAATAAACAGAGAAAATGAGCATCTGGACATGGCAGCATGATAAGTGCAGTAGGCCCGAAAGCGGACAATCCAACCCTCGTCCTCTTACAAAAATGCAAAACTTTAAACACGTTGAAACAGGTACACGCCCAGATGATCACGACTGGCCTCATCCTCCACACGTACCCCATAAGCCGTCTTCTCCACTTATCTTCCACGCTAGCTACTTTATCCTACACGTTCGCCATTTTCAACAACGTCAAAAACCCGACCATCTTTCTCTACAACACCCTCATCTCATCATTTGCTCAAAATGGTAACACAAAAGCTGCCCTCTCACTTTACCAACAAATTCTCTCTCATCCCAACAACACCAAACCAAATGACTACACTTACCCTTCTCTTTTCAAGGCCTTTGGGGCCCACAAGTGGCTCAGGCCCGGCCAAGCCCTTCATGCGCATGTCCTTAAATTCCTCCCCACTCCTAACGACAACTTTGTATGGGCTTCGCTTCTTAATTTTTATTCAAGATGTGGGAGAGTGGCTATGGCTCGTTATTTTTTCGACCGCATGAGTGAACCCGATTTAGCCACGTGGAACTCCATGCTGTCTTCTTATGCCCGTAAAACCAATAATTCTTGTAATTTAGATGGAGACTTGAGTTTTTCACTGGAGGTGTTGAGTTTGTTCGGCCGCATGCAGAGGTTTTCTTCGGTGAGGCCGAATGAGCTCACACTTGTCGCCTTAATTACCGCTTGTGCTGAAATAGGCGCCGTAAATCAAGGCCTTTGGGCCCACGGTTATATAATTCGTAACGGGCTCGGTCTCAATCGTTATATAGGGACGGCTTTAATCTCTTTTTATGTGAATTCCGGATGTCTAGAATTCGCGCGCCAGGTGTTCGACGAATTGCCCCAAAGAGACGGATTCTGTTTCAATGCCATGATTAGAGGGCTCGCGATCCACGGGCACGCGCGCGAGGCTCTCGATCTATTCGAGGCCATGCAGAAAGACGGTTTTGCCCCCGACGACTTCACGATATTAGCCGTGATGAGCGCGTGCTCGCACGCGGGCTTGGTGGACGAGGGTCGCTGCTTTTTCGAGTCGATGGCGGGCTTTTACGGGCTCGAGCCCAAAATCGAGCACTACTGCTGCCTGGTGGATCTTCTGGGCCGGGCCGGGCTTGTTGAAGAAGCTGAGGAGAGGGTTCGGGCCGTACCATTGAAGCCCAAAACTGTACTGTGGAGGTCTTTGCTTGGGACTGCAAGGGTTCATGGGAATTTGAAAATAGCTGAGCTTGCCCTTGGGAAGTTAGTTGAGCTAGAGCCTGAGACGAGTGGCAAGTACGTACTTTTGTCGAATATGTACGCGTGTCTCGACAAATGGGATGATGTGAAGAGAATACGAGAGTTGATGAAAGATGGTGGGGTGAATAAGACGCCTGGAAGTAGTTTAGAGTTAGGGGTGTAAGCAAATTGGGGTTTGCTTTTGGTACTTTTATTGGAGTTTCGGAAAATGCATTTGAGCTTGGTTCAATTAATGGATCAATCGAGCCTGCAAAAACTTTTGTCAAGTTATGGATTTTGGGACGTTGACAGCATATTTATATTGTTTGCTATATGAAGAGAACGTTATGATTAGGAAAAGTCTGTTTGTTGTTAAATAAATTTCTTACTTTGGGTTTTTAGTATAAGATAATAATACGCTTGCTAAACAGAAGATCTTGTTTAATGTCCAAATTCGTTTTTGCTCTATTAGGATTTGTATATGAAGGGAGGTATTTGTAGAAGGTTTTCACCTATTGTCTATTGACCCAGTTATCCTCTTTGAAACTGATTAAATTTTCTAAGATTGTATTAAAATAGTTCACAACTAAAGTACAGAAACTAAAAATTTTGTTGAGTACGTATAAACATAAATTGATTGTTATATGCATGCAAGTCCACTGTGCTATATGCATGTACTGTTACGAGCCAGAACTGTTTTAGTAGCTTAAATATGGTGGCCTTTGACGTAGTCAGCTACCTGATGATTTTTCTAACTATTGGTGCTGTCGTCAGCCAACTAATGTTATTTTTACACTATTGGTTTTGTCGTCATCTGATTTAAGCTCAGTGCCACATCATTCTATTTTTTTTTTCTTAATTTCCTTAATTTTATAATAATGCAACAATTTGTATCTCAGGATAAAGTAGAGTAATTAAGAAGTTTGTCTTTAACACTACTTCTGAGTTCTGCCACTTGTGAACCTGGCCAACACTGTAAGATTCAACTCATTCTCGTTTTATGGGCCTTTGAATTCCTACAAAACAGCTGCAAAAATAATTAGACGAAGGCGCTTGAAAGTGGTTGGCATCTGACCGTGTCATTAATCATTATGACAAAAACGCACGGGGCTCAAATGAAGTACCGAGTTTGTATTCAGTTATCATTTTTGAAAGGAGAAATTCCATTGTATGTCTTGATGTTTTTAGTATTGTTGATATAACACACATAATGTTATCAACTGGGTATACAAAAAAAAATTACACGGGAATCCTACGAACTGATATGTATTTTTCAGTTCATACAAATAATCTAAAAAAAAAAAAGTTACAATTGAACTGAAAAATAAATTACAACCGAAAAATAAATTAAAACTTAAAAAGGAAAGATTTTAGCCGAGGGAGTAAAACTCTTTCCGCAAGAAGAATACGCCTCGTGTGGCAGCTAACGGTTTAGGCGTAACTTCCCCAAAGATACAACGGCAAACGTCTCTAAATCTGTAGCACACCAGATTTACGAGCTCCGGCGAACTGGAACGGAGTAGAGAATTGAGCACTTAAAAATATAGGAATAAAAATATCACTCTGATAATTTTTCCTCTATTTTTATCCCTCAAATTTTGTTTCAGACGGAATATTTTTTTTTTTTTTTTTTTCTCTCTCTCTTTCCTTTCTCTCTCCCTTTCTTTCTTCTCTTTTTTCTCTCCTTTTCTTGTGTCCTTTTACTCTTGCCCGAGCTCCCCTATTTATAGTGTGATAATTTGGCCAATTGGCCATCAAATTGCAATTAAAAATATATATTTTAAATAGGAGCATATGGCAAAGATTCTCTTTCACAAGAATTGAGCTGGAAGATGCCAATTTGTTGTCAATTTGCTTTAATAATGATATTAGTTAGCATTGACTTTACACTCAATTATTACAATCCCCCACATGAGTGTAAATTAAATATATACATACTAGTGTGCTCAATTCTCACAAAACTCTATTGCATCAGAGAAGGTAGCTTTTGGCTTTGAACCTTTCATAGTAAACATCATCGGATGCACTGGCGGCCTAGTGGACATAATGCCTTGAACTATTCCTCCATAGTGTACACCGAGACAATGACATTCACACAATAGAGTCTTAACTCCATTCCGTTCTATCGTTGTGTCCGTTTTGGCCATGGACATCACTTTGGATTCATAAGTGTTTACATTTGAAGCGGCCCACACTTCACACTTATATAGGTGACCTCCCTATCAAGAGTATCCTGTATTACTCCACCTTTACAAAGTTAGGGATTATGGGATTCATTAAAAGTCCACATGACTTACCCTCACCACAATCAACAGGTCATCTTGCACTTGGAGTGCTCTAGGGAATAGCTTAGGACATTCATATGTTCCAAGTGCTCAACTGAATTTTCATAGCTTAGTTTTCCCTTTGAACCAAGTTCGTGGGATCTCCACTTAGCATGGTAGGGTTACCACTATGATCATTCTTTAAATTGTGGATTTTTAAGCCCATTCCCTCTAGCAAAACTACCAATTGATCTCTATTCAATCCTTTCGTCAAAGGATCAGCCAAATTTTCCTTAGACTTCACATAGTCAATGGAAATAACACCATTTGTGATCAATTGGCGTACGGTATTATGTCTACGACGAATATGTCTAGACTTACCGTTATACAAGTTGCTTTGCGCCCTACCTATAGCAGCTTGGCTATCACAGTGAATCATCACAGGCGGCAAAGTCTTATCCCAACATGGAATATCGGATAAAAAATTTCTAAGCCACTCGGCTTCTTCACCAGCTTTATCTAAAGCGATGAACTCCGATTCCATCGTTGACCGAGCTATACACGTTTGTTTTGTGGATTTCCACGAAACTGCACCTCCTCCAATACAGAAAACATATCCGCTAGTGGAGCGAGAATCTCTCGAATCTGATATCCAGCTTGCATCACAGTACCCTTCAAGTACGGCTGGATATCTCGAGTATTTTAGCCCGTATTCAAGGGTGTACCTCAAGTACTTAAGTACCCTTCTCAAAGCATTCCAGTGCTCATGACTGGGATTGCTCGTAAATCTGCTCAACTTATTCACCGGATAGGCCAAGTCTGGTCGTGTACAATTCGTCAAGTACATCAGACTCCCTATTATCCGTGAATATTCCAACTGAGCCACTGGTTGACCTTTATTGGCTACCAGATTTATACTAAGATCAATGGGTGTCTTACACCTAGACTGTGCACCGTCATAGGTATCAAATTTCTTGAGCACTTTCTCTACATAATGAGATTGTGACAAGACAATTCCATCTTGGGTTCTGATAATCCTTATTCCAAGAATAACATCAGCCAAACCCATATCTTTCATGTCGAAATTTCTTTTCAACATTCTTTTCGTATCCATGATCACTTCATGGCTACTCCCCATGATCAACATATCGTCTACATATAGACATACAATCACAAATGTATTTGATGTACTCTTGACATAAACACATTTGTCACATTCGTTGATTTTGAAATCATTTGACAACATCACGTCATCAAATTTCAAATGCCATTGTTTCGGAGCTTGTTTCAGTCCGTACAAGGATTTGATCAATCTACACACCTTTCTCTCTTGTCCAGGTGCAACAAACCCTTCAGGTTGTTCCATGTATATTTCTTCTTCCAATTCACCATTCAAAAATGCCGTCTTGACATCCATTTGGTGAATCTCAAGATTGTGCAAAGCAGCAATCGAGAGAAGCACTCTTATCGACGCTAAACGCGTAACTGGTGAATAGGTATCAAAGAAATCATACCCTTCCTTTTGTTTAAAGCCTTTGACCACCAATCGTGCTTTAAACTTATCAATCGATCCATCAGCTTTATATTTCTTCTTTAGGATCCACTTGCATCCTAAAGGTTTACAACCATCAGGGAGATCAACCAACTCCCAAGTATGGTTCTGCATAATGGACTCGATTTCGCTATTTACAGCTTCTTCCCAGAGTGGTCCATCTGGGCTGGACAGAGCTTCCTTAAGGGAACTCGGTTCATCGTCCAACATATACGTAATAAAATCAGGTCCAAACGTTTTCGCCGTTTTTAACCTTTTACTACGTCTCGGTTCTTCATCAGTACCCTCTGGTACAGAACCACTAGCAGTTTCATACGTTCGTTTATTAGAACTAGATTCTGCTCTTTCCTTTAGAGGAAAAATATTCTCAAAGAATATAGCATTCCTCGACTCAATCGTGGTACCAACAGATACCTCTGGATTTTCTGATTTATGAACCAGAAATCTATATGCTGTACTATTGTACGCATATCCAATAAATACACAATCGACCGTCTTTGGCCCGATTCTCATTTGTTTGGGTTCCGGTACTGAAACCTTAGCCAAACACCCCCACACTTTCAGGTATTTATAAGACGGCTTACGATTTTTCCACATTTCGTAAGGAGTCTCATCTTTCCCTTTAGGTGGTATTTTATTCAGGATATGATTTGCTGTTAAAACAGCTTCCCCCCACATGTTTTGTGGTAATCCTGAATTTATCAACATGGCATTCATCATTTCTTTTAACGTACGGTTCTTGCGTTCAGCAACACCGTTCGACTGTGGAGAATAAGGGGCAGTCGTTTGATGAATTATGCCATATTCAGAACATATTTGTTCAAAAGGAGCTACATACTCCCCACCCCTATCACTTCGGATTATTTTAATCCTTTTGCCGAGTTGATTTTCAACTTCGGTCTTATAGATTTTAAATGCTTCCACAGCCTCGTCTTTGCTTCTTAATAAATATAAGTAGCAAAACCTTGTGCAATCATCGATAAAAGTAATAAAATACTTTTTACCCGTTCTTGTTTGCACACTTTTCATATCACATACATCAGTATGGATTAAGCCTAATGGTTCAGTACACCTTTCCACCGAGTGAAAAGGCAACTTAGCCATTTTTGCTTCAATACAAATCTCACATTTCTTATGTGATTCAATTTTAGAATTAGGAATTAATTCTAAATTCATCAACCGTTTAATTGCATTTCGATTTACATGTCCCAATCTAATATGCCATAAATCAGAGCACTCAACGGTATAAACAGAAATAGGCTTTTCATTATCATTTAAAACGGTTACACGGCTCACGGCCATTACATTCATTTTAAACATACCCTTGTCGAGATAGCCACGACCAAGGAAAGTTCCAAACTTGCTAAGAACAAATTTCTTAGCATCAAATACCAGCCTAAATCCATGCTCAACAAGAAGAGATCCGGAGACCAAATTCTTGCGGATGTCTGGGACATGCAGAACATCCTTAAGCTTCAACTCCTTTCCAGAAGTCAGCTTCAGCACCACAGTGCCCACTCCAGCCACATCAGCCGTGGCGGAGTTTGCCATGTAAAGTTTCCGACTCTTAGCAGGAGTGTATTCAGAGAACACCTCCTTATCGGAACACACATGACGAGTGGCACCAGTATCGATGTACCACTCCCTTGGGTTATCCACCATATTGGCTTCAAACACCACAGCCGACATATCAAAGTCGGTCAGTTCACCCGGCACAGGGCCGTGTTCAGCCACAAGGGCACTCGGTTTACCTTTCTTTGGCCCAGCCTTCTTTGGCCTCTTGCAGTCTTTAGCCATATGGTTCGGCTTTCCACAATTATAACAAGTTCCGGTAAACTTCCAAACCTTGGCAGGCTGCTTCCCTTTGTCTAGGGACTTCCTTTTGCTCGAGTTGCCTTGCTCTATCAAGTTAGCACGAGCCTCCATCATCGGAATTTTTCCCGATGAATTACGATTGTCCTCCTCAATACGAAGACGAACAATCAAGTCTTCAAGACTCATTTCCTTCCTCTTATGTTTGAGGTAGTTCTTGAAGTCTTTCCAACCCGTCGGCAGTTTTTCAATCACAGCCGCAACTTGGAATGACTCGCTCAGAGACATTCCTTCAGCATGGATATCGTGCAAGATAAGTTGAAATTCTTGCACTTGGGACATGACGGTCTTAGAGTCGACCATCTTGAAGTCAAGAAACTTGCCGACGACGAATTTCTTCGCCCCGGCATCCTCAGTCTTGTACTTCTTCTCCAAAGCAGCCCAAAGCTCTTTGGCAGAACCAACCGAGCTGTACACATTGTACAACTCATTACTAAGTCCGTTCAGGACATAGTTACGGCAAAGGTAATCACCTTGCCCCCAAGCTTCGTACGCAGTGCGTAGTTCAACATTGGTCTCATTTTCAGCAATAACCGGGGGGTCGTCCTTCAGGTAGTCCGTTCATGATTGATCGGATGTTGAGTGTTGGAACCATTTCCGGTGGAAGCCATCAGTCCAGTAGGCGTATTCTTCTTGCGATTGTTATCAACTGGGTATACAAAAAAAAATTACACGGGAATCCTACGAACTGATATGTATTTTTCAGTTCATACAAATAATCTAAAAAAAAAAAAAATTACAATTGAACTGAAAAATAAATTACAACCGAAAAATAAATTAAAACTTAAAAAGGAAAGATTTTAGCCGAGGCGAGTAAAACTCTTTCCGCAAGAAGAATACGCCTCGTGTGGCAGCTAACGGTTTAGGCGTAACTTCCCCAAAGATACAACGGCAAACGTCTCTAAATCTGTAGCACACCAGATTTACGAGCTCCGGCGAACTGGAACGGAGTAGAAAATTGAGCACTTAAAAATATAGGAATAAAAATATCACTCTGATAATTTTTCCTCTATTTTTATCCCTCAAATTTTGTTTCAGACGGAATATATTTTTTTTTTTTTTTCTCTCTCTCTCTTTCCTTTCTCTCTCCCTTTCTTTCTTCTCTTTTTTCTCTCCTTTTCTTGTGTCCTTTTACTCTTGCCCGAGCTCCCCTATTTATAGTGTGATAATTTGGCCAATTGGCCATCAAATTGCAATTAAAAATATATATTTTAAATAGGAGCATATGGCAAAGATTCTCTTTCACAAGAATTGAGCTGGAAGATGCCAATTTGTTGTCAATTTGCTTTAATAATGATATTAGTTAGCATTGACTTTACACTCAATTATTACACATAATAACTTGGTGAACCGGCTTGACTGGTTCGTTTGGGTATGACCGATTCAAGACAGCTTTAGCTAGGTATCATCGTCTGACCTCATCAAGGAGCTCGTTTAGGTAGCTCAAGATATAGGTCGATTGGTTAGAAGATCTACGTCTGAGTTCCTCTATGAAATGTCAGCGTTGGTAGAACTCAAGGGTAGAGAGACATTGGACCCATAGGTTCTTTGGGAGTGACTATCAGACTTACAAATTATACTGAGTAGCTAAAATAACCAAAATGGCATTTTGAAGGCCGATGTGTTTAGAAGCCAAATAAATGTTAGGATTGGTTCATCAAATTTGTGTAGTCCTATGATTTTTAGGACAAAGGCTAGTTGCGAATAGTTTTATTCAAGAAATTTATTCGAGACAGGGTACATTGAGTGACGTTCATAAGCTTTAATACTTCGAGGGAGTACGATGGAAGTTGTTGAAAGACATCGAGGTTAATGTATTAGTGGCATTACGATGTCAATCTTAGTGACTAATACTTTTTGGAATAATCTGGAAAATACTAATTGGAAGTTGAGATTCGAATTCAACAGGTTGCACCTGATTTACCTCAACAGGAAGGTGTAACAGAATGAAGAAAAATGTTTATTAGGTATACTGGTTGTGTCAATGATGAGTTTATTAGAAATTTCACTTTTCGTTTTGGAGTTGTGCAAATAGCAGGATAAGTTGTGAACATAAGTTTCATCTAAGTCGGTTGTCATTACCTTGAATGAATTGTGGACGAGGCGTATCCCAATCAGGAACATATTCGAATTTGAGGTGTTTTCGGTACATGTTGTGGAAAGTTGATGCTCATAAGATTGGAAAAGTCATTCAGAAAATTGACTATTTGTGGGATACTCCAAAGTAACGAGAAAGATAGTTTATTCTATAGTACTAAAAAACAGAAGGTGATCGTTAGTACGAATGCCTGATTTTTAGAAGAATATTAAGCGATAGACCACGAGCCCATTGGCAGAATTGTTATAATGAAAGATAAAGGTGAAAGTTCGACTTCAATACCGCGTGTAATGTGATACCACAATAAAACTGCAACAAGTAACATGAGCAAGACACTTTTTCCGGAGGAACTTTGTCGAAGTGGGAGGATTAGAAGGCGACCCCATAGATTTGTGTAATTGAGAGAGTCATTGGACTCGATCTCTAGTAAACACGAGACTATGAATTCATGTTGTTGAGAAAGTCTTCAGACTTAGTCTCTAGTAAACTTGAGTTAATCCTTGAATATACAAGGAGGCGCTCCGAGACGAGGATGCAGAATCTTAGCAAAGTATCAATGATTCCTGATTTAGAGTCTCAAATTGTAATCAAATCTGGGGTCTTATAGAATCATCAAGTGGCGTAAAGGTCATTGGGTGAACTCTATAAGTAAAATTGTGTAGAATTTGGGGCAAGACTTGTTGTGAAATGGTAGACTCAGAAAGAATGTGATCTATTATGAGTTAGCTTTTTCACTAGTAGCCGTGCTTAAGTCTATACGAATTTTAGGTTGTTGTCGCTCATATGAGTTATGAGATTAGGCGAGGTGGATGTCAAGGCATTTTCCTTAACCGGAACTCCTGTGGAAATATTCATGGAGCACCACTCATAAGTGTTCATTGAAAAAGATGAGAGCATCTAGTCTGTAAACTGAAATGGTCCATTAGTGGACTGAAGTATGTTTTGGTTCATTTGGTTGATGAGTCGAATACATGGGTTTGATCATTCATCAAATGAGCACTATGTGTAGCGCAAGTGGTATTTTTTGTACTGTGCCTACCAATAACCTCAATCACTCTTGTTTGAGATTTGACTGACACTTCTACCAGGTTGGATGTGTTGTTCAAGCTACCGGTAGAGTTTTTTTACCTTCATTTGCTATTCAAATTTTAAGGCTGATGAATTAAAGTTGTTCTGGGGGCCTGTGTTTTTAGACCCATGGAGCCTGATTGACTTGCTTAATGAATATTGGGCCCCATTTGTCCTTTCCCTACCTTGAGCCATTCTCCAAATTGCCTATCTTGAAGAGAATTTTAGGCTATGTCCTCTAACCTCTTCTTACAATTCATGTCTAAATGCCCCAACGTGCCACAATAGTAACATAAGTTAGACTAACTTCTCATACTTGAAGTTCACCTTGATTATTTGATCCTTCAATCTCACATTTGCGCATCTCATAAGAGGTTCTTTGACATTAACAAAGACTAAAATTCTAATCACCTTCCACCTCTTCCTCCTCCTCCTCTGTCACCATCTTTAGAATAGTGTCATTTTGTACTGCTCTGAATAATTTTCTTATTTTTAGACCCACATCTGCATTCTGCCAATGAAGCGGTATATTGTAAATGTGCACCCATAGTTGCAATTCAAAGCACTGGTGATTGCCACTGATACTGTCTATCAAATCGTGCAAAATTAGATATTGGTTTTCAAAAAATCCAGTTCAAACCTGATGCTACCTTCTTCCGTTCATCACCATTCTTAAAGATAAACTGGAAGAAATTTGGGCCAAACTCCTGAATTTCCACTGATTTTTGAATCCTCCATATGTGGCCCGGCCCATCATTCTCTTTAGACCGAAAAGGCTGGTCTTCCTGTCACCAATAATCTGACACTCATCTCACTTAATTTGATGTCCTCATTGCCCAATATCGACAATGCAGTTTTCCAAGTTCTTAGCATTGAAAATGAGGGTGGATCTCTAGGATTCTAAGGGAGGGAGATGAGTGGGGCTCCCAACTAAGAGAATTGGAATTATCAATGAAATCTATTTGGTTATGCAATTCGCCGAATTTTCGCCACCCATTATGAATCGAATTTGGAGAACAAATGGCACTTTGCTTTTGAATGTCCAGGTTCATCCTCCCTAGCTTTAATTAACATCCTTCCATATAATAATATAAATAAAATCCGTTACACCCTCAAAAACATCCAAACCTCACAATCCAGTTGATTCAACAACTATTACCTATTGTCAACCTTGCCACGATATTAACTAATAATTACTCCCCGGCCTCCTCGTCAAACTCTAATTCCAAAATTTTCCCCCATACCAGAAGTAATAAAATTTCCGGTGAGCCCCTAGATTAGTAGCCACTTCCGAACCCACCCCCTCCTAAGTTCAAAATTTTTTTATTCCTAAAAAATACCCTTCTAATACCCAAATATTATATCTGGCCCTCGGAGCCTACGACTGAGGAAAAAGAAAATAAGAGATAAAAGAGAGCCGAAAATGGCAGCCATGGCTTCTCTTCACCTCAAAACCTCATTTCATCAGACCAATTCCTTTCTGAAGCTGCAGGGAACCAAATTTATCCCAGCTCTCAATATGCCGAATTACCCTCTCCGATCCATCAGAGCCCGGCCCGCGACCCGAATCTCGGCTTCGTTGATCGAGCCGGATGGCGGACGGCTCGTCGAGCTCTTCGTCAAGGAGTCTGAGAAAGACTCGAAAACCAAGCAGGCGTTGGGCCTGCCAAAGATCAGCCTCTCGAAGATCGATCTCCAGTGGGTCCACGTGCTCAGCGAGGGCTGGGCGAGCCCGCTCAGGGGCTTCATGAGAGAGTCCGAGTTCCTCCAAACGCTTCATTTCAATTCGCTCCGGCTCGAAGACGGGTCGGCTGTGAACATGTCGATACCCATCGTGCTCGCTATCGACGATGCCCAGAAGAATCTGATCGGGTCGTCTACCAGCGTTGCGCTTGTTGATGGGAAGGATGCTCTGGTTGCTGTTTTGAGCGAGTATGTATTTTTTGTTTTTGGTTTGTACGTTTTATTTATTAATTCTTTGTTTTTAATAATTGTACTATTATTTGCTAGATGTATTTTTTGTGGTATTGAACGAACCAACGCTGAAAGCAATTTTTCTTTTCAGTTCGTGGATTTTTTTTTAATAATGTATAATTTCAGTAAGGATGTAATGAGCGGAAAATGGTTCCTTAAAAAAATAGGATGAACATAGCTGAATAGCTGAAGGGTTATTTGCTTTTGATGTTTTCCTGTACATCTGTTGCTTCTTCATTTTCTTCAATGTTCCCCTGAACTGATTTTATCTTGCTTATGGTATGTGAATAAATTATTTCTGTATAATCTTGCCACCTCCCTTTAGGTGTCTTTGTGTGATGCGTTTATGTTGAGTATTAATATTCACAAATCTCCTGATACTAATTTATTTATATATCTCTAGGAACATCAACATGTTGTAAGTGAGAGAATTTGTATGATATGATTGTGTAAACATGTTTTAAATAAGTATTCCTAATCAATCAATGGTAGGAACTGAATTTTACGTGAACTGAGTTGTTCATAAAACCAATTATATCAACTGAAATTGCAGTGTATTCGAAATTATCGAGATGCACTATACATTTTCATGTTCAGTTGATTTGTGTCTTTGTTAAGATTTCTGAATGTGTGAATGAGCAGGCAGCTTGCTTATATTCTTGTATGAGAAACGTACCTCATGGAATTAACCTTGGTGTCATGCCTTTTTCTTTCCTATCTTTTCCTTATGAATTCCGAAAAAAAGGAACTCTTAATCATATAAATAATGATCTTTTTCTGAATTTCAAATTTATACAGTATCGAGATATACAAGCACAACAAGGAAGAAAGAATAGCAAGGACCTGGGGCACAACTGCCCCAGGCCTGCCTTATGTTGAGCAAACCATCACTAATGCTGGAAACTGGTTGATTGGTGGTGATTTAGAGGTGATTAATCCTGTCAAGTATGAGGACGATTTGGACCGTTTTAGGCTCTCGCCTGCACAGCTTCGTGAGGAGTTTGAGAGGCGGAATGCAGATGCTGTGTTTGCTTTCCAGCTTCGAAATCCGGTGCACAATGGACATGCTCTATTGATGACCGACACACGGCGTAAACTTCTCGAGATGGGTTATAAGAATCCGGTCCTCTTGCTTCATCCCTTGGGGGGATATACTAAGGCAGACGATGTCCCGCTTAGCTGGCGGATGAAGCAACATGAGAAGGTGAGTTGGAATTTTTTTTGTTTTTACATTTTTTTTTTCTTAAGTTGTGGTTTTTTCTTTTGTGACTGTTTTGAGGTTGGTTAGGATAAAAAATAAGATGATGTGGGAGTTGATTGTGAAGACAAGTAATTGGGGAAAAAAATGAACATGCATTTTCTGAGATTCGAGTTGGTATGAAATTGAAAATATTTGGGTAGTTTATTTCATATATAAATTGTGAAGTAATATGATTGAAAATGATTGGCTTAGGAAACGTGAGTGTAAGTGAATGATGTAATTTTGCTAGGTATAGTAGCTTACTCAGAAGAACACACTTACGTCAATGTTGATTGATATGGTTGATGATACGTAAAATGAGTGGGTGGGCGATGAATTATTTATATGCAATCCCGAATTAAGGCAAGAAAAAATTCATTTTTTCTCATATCTAAACCCAAAAAATTCAATTAATGTTATATATGTTCTCAGGTGAGAATGCACACAATTGATGCGCTAATTTAATATTTTGGAAAATGGCCATATTCATTGAACAGGTACTTGAAGATGGTGTCCTGGATCCAGAAACTACAGTTGTGTCTATTTTCCCTTCTCCTATGCACTATGCTGGCCCAACTGAGGTGCAGTGGCATGCTAAGGCTAGAATTAATGCAGGGGCCAACTTCTACATAGTGGGCCGTGATCCAGCTGGCATGAGCCACCCAGTCGAGAATCGGGACCTCTATGATGCTGATCATGGGAAAAAAGTTCTCAGCATGGCTCCTGGACTTGAGCGCCTCAACATTCTTCCATTCAAGGTAAAGGAACACCAATTCTTGACTATTTTTCTTTTATTTATGAAATCTAACTCTCAATGAGAAAAAAAACTAACCTTGAAAACTTTGATATATATCTAGGTGGCTGCATATGACAAGACACAGAGTAAGATGGCATTCTTTGATCCATCCAGGGCTCAAGATTTTCTTTTCATATCTGGCACAAAGGTGAAATTCCTCTATTGTTGAACATTTACTTGGCTTTACTATCAAGTAGAAGCAAATATAGTAGTTTATTATAATTTTTCTGTTTTAAATTTTTTTCTACCTACTTAATATAGAAGCAAATACTTTAAGGGTGTTTTCAATCTTGAATGACAATTCCATTCTTGTAATTAGGCGAAACTATTCTTGTGTATTTTTCATCCATTTTCCCCCTTTTGTTTCCCATTCATTTTGATTATTTCTTGCTCTATGTATTCTCCAGATGCGAACCCTTGCAAAGAACGGGGAGAATCCTCCCGATGGATTCATGTGCTCGGGTGGCTGGAAAGTTTTGGTTGAATATTATGACAGTTTGGCCCTAACCGAGAATGATAGACTGCCTGAGCCTGTTCCGGTTTGAAATTATTACGACTGTGTAAAGTTGATCCAAGTTTGGGATATACTTTACTCTACTTCGTAACTACCAATGTGTATTTAAACTGGATTTTAATAATAATAATAATGATGATAGAGTAATGTTTAGATGACAGTGGCCTCAGAATCCTGTATTATGAATGCTTGATTACTTGGAGTTGTGTGATCAACTGTGTGGTATTGCTATTATGCATGATTTTGACGAAGTTAATCAATTTTTATCTTCTGTTTTTATCAGAAGTTTTTTACAGTGGCAATGGTGATCAAATTATCGATTTCATTTAGCAGCTGCGAGTGCTCTTGGTTGATAAAAGGAAATTAATGAATAATTCAAACAAGTTTCTGGGCAAACTGTAATAAAATATAACAATTTCACAATGCAGTACAATTTTCCATTTGACCTTAGAAGCTAAAAAAATACAATTACAAATAAATCTATTCAGCAATGGTTGCCATACAATGACCTGAGTTTTTATGAAATAAACAAGTTAACAATTAAGTAACTTGTATAAAATAACATAACAAGTGAGAATTAAAGTTGTTATCAAACGGTGATCATCATCTTGACAAATTCATCATAGTTAACTTGTCCATCTCCATCCAAATCAGCCTCCCTAATCATCTGCTCAGCTTCTTCATCACTTAATTTTTCCCCTAGGTTGATCATCACGTGTTGAAGCTGCATCCAGTGATTAAAAAATTATAATCTATACCGATAACAGAGTTTAAGCAATTAAATTAATATTATAGTGAAAGGAATAATAAGATCAAACCTGTGCTACAAACAAGTATGTTTAATTTAAAACTTAGGTAGGTAAAGTAGTCTGCATGAGACCAAGTGCAGAAAATAATAAACCTTGTTGACTTTAATAACTTAAATGTGTTGAACAACTGTAAAACAGAACAATGACACCTTAAAATTTGATATTAATGGATTGGCCCTGAAATTTGACACTAATCTCAGATTTTGTGTTTATTTTCGCTTTTCTTCTTCTCTTTTCATTTTTTTTTTCCCATTTGTTTAAACGTGTAGACAATTAATTCACCTCTTCAGCTGATATGTAGCCATTTTGATCCTTGTCAAACACTTTGAAAGCTTCTTTGAGCTCCTCTTCAGCATCAACATCCTTTAAGAAAAACAACAAACAATATTCAAGTGTAAGTAAGATTGAAAAGTGGCTATCCGTGTAATTAATCAAAAAATAAATAAATGAAACATTATAATTTAATTTTAATACATATATAATAGGCGTCTAAATTACCTTTATTTTACTGGCCATGAGATTCAAGAATTCTGCAAATTCTATCGTCCCATTTCCATCAGAATCAACCCCATCAATCATTTCCTTAAGCTCTTCCTCAGTAGGGTTTTGGTCCAAAGACCTAATAACCGTAGCCAATTCTTCAGTTGTAATGCACCCTGCAAATTTTGGGGGGAAAAAAATGTCCATTTCAATTTAATTTCATGGTAATAATTTACTAATTAAGGTATGTATGACATGCAGAGCATTTAAAAGGTCGTCCAATTTTTTATTATAGTGTACAAATTAACTAATAGAAAGTTTAATTAACACTAAAACTTCTGTAAATATGTATAGAAACAAAAATAGAGCTGAACATAAGGAAATGTATAGGGTTATCGAAATTAAGAAATTCAGCAATTAAACTAAATAATTACCATCTCCATCATTGTCAAATAGACTAAAAGCCGCCTCAATCATCTGTTCTCCACTCACTATTTCTGCCATGATAGTAGTTTTTTGGGAGGGAGATGGAGAGAGAAGAGAGAGAGAGAGAGAGAGAGAGAGATGAGTTCAATAGAGTTTGCTGGGATTTATACAGAGAACTGAAATGGGAACAATGGCTTCGTAAATGCTTTAGCATTTTTCAATTAAATATTAAAAACGACTTTGTGAAAAATTAAGAGTCAAAAAATTCGAGGTTGAGACTAATGTTGGTCAAATATAATAATGTCATGGAGGAATATCAAAGTAAGCCGAGCAAGGAGACTTTGAAAATATGTCAACCGATATTTTAATAAGCCGAGAATTATATTCCTCTTATTTCTAAAGTAGAAAAAATCTGATTCAATTTTTCAATTTATTACTATTTATTTTTTCAATTGTATGGAAAATAATTGTAACTTAGGTGAAAGGAAAACGTGAACATATGAAAAAGGAAAACTCTCCATTGCCATTAATGAGATGCTGCAGCTTTTCATGTTTTTGGAGTTTTCACATTATCAGAATGATAATCTAGACTAGGTTTTACATTCCTTTTATATCAAAGAGAAGATACTAGCCTATGGCTGAGATCTAGTCTAGTACAATGAATGGTTAATCAAGACCACACATCAATACATGACAATATAGGCTAAATGACAAATGACATGCATTAATGTATGTGCTCTCCAAATCTGCACGAGCCCTTAGGTGAGCTGGCTGTACTGGTGCATGGTGGCTGCATGGAGTGAGTTAGACTGTGATGTGGTTTCCTTTGACTGCTGAGCTGCTGCATGTCTCTTTCATCCCCCCTCAATTCAATCGAGGCTGTTGAAAACACTTTAAGACTGTTCTTGTGCCGAGTGAAGAATTGCTGAGACAAGGCTTTGGTAAATACGTCTGCAACTTGCTCAGAAGTGGGAACATGACAGATTTGCACTTGGTGTCTTGAAATCTTATCTCTTACAAAGTGAAGATCCAATTCAATATGCTTAGTGCGAGCATGCTGAATAGGATTGGAGGCAAGTGCTATTGCAATTATATTGTCCACCCAAACAGTTGGCACTCCTTCAAAGGGCAGGTGTAGTTCCTTGAAAAGATTAGTCAACCAAGTAATCTCAGCCACGGTATTTGCAAGGCTTCTATACTCAGCCTCTGTGCTTGAGCGGGAGACAAAACCTTGTTTCTTAGAACTCCATGAAATGAGATTTGCACCAAAATAAACACAGGAACCACCAACAGGTTTCCTATCATCTATGTCTGCAGCCCAATCTGAATCTGAGAAGGCTGTAAGTTTCAAATGATTACTTCGAGTAAAGAGAAGCCCATGATCAATACTCCCAGCTAAGTACCTCAAGATACTCTTTAAAGCTTTCCAATGAGGGGTTAAAGGATTACACATAAACTGACTTACTTTGTCAACACTGAATGAAATTTCTGGTCTAGTGATGGTCACATATTGCAGTGCACCAACTAAACTTCTATAAAGTGTGCTGTTGAGATCAGAAACTGTACCATTGGTTCTGGAAAGTTGTTGTGAGCTGACCATGGGAATTGGTGCTCCTTTGGCGTTGGTCATGCCAGCTCTATGCAGAAGGTCCTTAATATATTACTCTTGAGTAAGCAGCACTCCTTCTGTAGTGTTAATGAACTGAATTCCCAAGAAATGCTTCACACATCCCAAATCTTTTAAGGAGAAAACCTCCTTAAGCTGTGTAATAACATGTTCAACCTGTCCCTGATCATCTCCTGTAACTAGTATGTCATCCACATAGATTAACAAGTATATGGTGTGAGAAGTGGTGACTCTAAAAATTAGAGAGGTGTCAGCTTGAGATTTGTTGAAACCAAGTTGATGAAGGATATTTTCAATCCTAGTAAACCAGGCTCTGGAAGCCTGTTTCAATCCATATATGGCTTTAGAGAGCTTACAAACCATTCCATTTGCTTCATTGGATTGTTCAAAACCAGCTGGTTGCTTCATATAAATATCTTCCTGCAATTCACCATAAAGGAAGGCATTATTGATGTCCAAATGCTCGAGTTTCCAATTCTTCTCAGTAGTTGTGCTGAGAATGAGCCTTATTGTGGTTGGTTTAACCACAGGACTAAAAGTTTCTGAAAAATCAAAACCAGCTTTTTGTGTGTACCCTTGAGCAACTAGCCTGGCCTTATACCTTGCCACTGAGCTATCAGAGTGCCTTTTGATTTTAAAAACCCACTTGCTTCGTACAATGTTCTTATCATGTGGAGTAGGGACCAATGTCCAAGTTTTGTTCTTCATGAGAGCTTTATACTCATTTTGCATAGCTTCTATCCACACCTTTGAAGTTAAAGCTTCCTTGACAGTTTTAGGTTCTGTCTCTTGCTCAGTGAGAAACACCTTTGGCTTGGAGTGCCCAGTTTTTGATCTTGTCATCATATGATGCTTGTGTGCAACTGTTTGAGGCTGTTGATCATTTTGATTGCTTTGATCGATGGGCAGATCAACTATCAAAGGGACTGTGCTGTAGGATGATGTAGAACTTGGTGAATGTGAGAATTAAGTGAATTGTTGTACTGTAGGCTATTTTTTCTTGGAGATGTTTGAGCCTGAGAACCAAAATCACTATTGCTCCCTTGGTTATGTGTATCAGACTGCTGGTTGAAAATGGTGCCTTGTCTCAATGGTTCAATAATCACATTTGGCTGCATTATAGAAACATTTAAAGGATATTGCTGCTCTTTAAGGTCATTCTTCAAATCTTTGGGTTGATAAGGAAAAGTATGTTCATCAAACACCACATGTCTTGAAATTATCACTTTGCCATTAGGAAGAAGAACTTTGTAGCCCTTGTACTGTCCACTGTAACTAAGAAAAATACCATCCACAGACCTATACTGTAACTTGTGTTTGTTCCAAGGCCTGATAAAAGGATAACACAAACACCCAAAGGCTTTGAGTTTGCTATAATCTGGCTTCATTTTGAAAAGACACTCCACAGGGCATTTATATGATATCACTTTACTTGGAAGTATGTTTATAATATGAACTGCTGTACAAAAAGCATCATCCCAAAATTTGATGGGTATGTTTGAGTGAGCAAGAAGTGGCAAGCCCATCTCCACAATATGCCTGTGTTTTCTTTCTGCCACCCCATTTTGTTGGGGTGTGTAGGGACATGAGACTCTATGATGGATACCATGTTCATGAAAGAAGCTTGTAAGACTTTTATATTCAGTACCTTCATCTGTCTATAAAGCCTTTATTTTGCAATTAAGTTGATTCTCAGCAAGTGCTTTAAAATGTAAAAACACTCCATGAACTTCATCATTAGTTTTCAACAAAAATATCCAAGAGAATCTACTGTAATGATCAACAAATCTGACATAGTAGAGAAAACCATTAGAAGACTTCAAAGGTGTAGGACCCCATAAATCTGAGTGCACAAGTTCAAGGGGCTTAGTAAAATTGTATCTGAATCAGAGAAGGGAAGTCTGTGACTTTTAGCAAGCATACAAGAAGAACACAAAGAATTGTCTTGAGTGGAAAGATAAATTACAGGCTTTCATTACTCTTTCTATTACATCATGACTAGAGTGACCTAATCTAAGATGCCATAGAGTTGAGTTTGCCTTGTTATTGAAAGCTGCAGAATAGACTTGAGCTTGAAGGTTTCACTGGTTTGTGAGGTGTTGAGGTTTCCTGGTTGACTCTGAAGGAAGCTTGATAGTTTGGAGGTTGAAGTGATAAAGGCCATTTTGGATTGTCCCTCTAAGAAGGGTATCTCGAGTTGTTTGATCCTTCACAAGGCAATAAGAAGGGTGAAATTCAAAAAACACATTGTTATCTGAGGCAAAACTGGAAACACTAAGGAGATATTTTGTTATAGAAGGAACATGCAATAGATTTTTGAGTATGAAGGTTCTGTTATTAAGAGAAGATTTCAAGGTAGAGTTACCTATGTGACTTATGTTGATTTCAGAACCATTTCCCATTTGGAGCCTATTGTTTCCCCCATATTCAGACCCCATATTCATATTGGCTAGATCATTGGTGACATGTGTGGTGGCACATGAGTCTGGAAACCAGGTTAACTCATTTCCATATTCAGAAGGTGTGCTTGTGTTTGCAATCTGAGGTAAGTTCCCAAGATGAGCCATGTGAAGAGAAGCATTTCTTTGTCAACCAAAACTCTGTTGATTAGGCTGAGATGACATATTAGGAGGGATGAAAGATGTGTCATTTATGTACCAACATTTTTCAGCTGAGTGTCCATCTTTGTAACAAATTTGGCAAGTGATTTTGTTTCCATTAAATCTTCCACCCCTTCCTCTATAACCTCTGCCACCACTTCTTCCACCTCTTGATGGAAAAGAACCTCTGGAATTTCTGAAGTTGCCTCTACCAGATCCTATTGCACTGTTGTTGTTCCCTACAGCCTTTGAGCTCATTTGTGCTGCATTGATAGACATTTGGGATCCATCTGAGTTTATGGTGGCACCAAAGGTAGTGTTTGCCTCTAACCTTGCCTCATAAATGAGAAGTAAGGCATGCAATTCACTGAGAGTGTAAGGCTCAAGTCTGGAGGTTACATTAACCATAACCGAGTAATATTCATTTCCCAAACCAGACAGAATGTGTAGCACTTGATCTTTCTCACTTATTTTATGCCCTGCTGAAGCTAGAGTATCACAGCAAGACTTCATTTTTCCCAGATACTCCCTCATTGGCATGCCATTTTTCCTCAAAGATTGCAATATGATTTTGTATTGCATTATCTTAGCTTGAGACTGAGTAGAGAAATTGTTTTCAAGGGCTAGCCATATTTCTTTAGCTGTGTTGAGACCAACAATTAAAACTAGAATACCTTCGGTTAAGGATGAGAGGATCCATGAGGCCAAGATTTGATCTTGTCTCTCCCACAAGGCATATTCTGGATTTATCTCTTTTGAAACTCCGACAAGTTGCATTTGTGGAGGAGATCTGCTCTCTCTCTTGATGAAGGACTCCAGTCTATAACCTTTAATTGCTGTAAGAGCCGGTTGCTTCCATATAAGAAAGTTGTTCTCATCAAGCTTCACTTAAATGAGTTGGC